TCTATCAATCGCGAAATGATCCCGCCAGAAGCATACGAGTTCCGCGCAAATAATAACAATTTTAGAGGTACCTCACACGATTCGCCTGCGCCTTGCCAAGTGCAGGTAATTGGCTCTGGTCATGCGATTACGTTTCTAGGCAATTTAATTATCGCAAAATGATCACTGTGCCGGCCTCCCGCAATTTACCTATCAATCAAATAGAGAGCGGTTCGCTTATTGGCGCTCAAACCTAGACAAAACTACGATATCGGTTTTCAATCATTGTTGCAAAATATACAGTACTGACTGCAAAGTTGCATTTGAAACCAGGAAAGCAAACTGGACTTTTATAACGTGAATAATTACGCGAACATTGTACGTCTTTAAGCATTTTTAATAAATGTAGAAATATTCAAACGTTAATTTTCTAACCGACGTCAAATAGTATATTTTTAATATCGTATTTATTTATTTTCATGTGCTTAACAAGGTATCTCCGAGGCTTTTTAGTAACTAATTTATTATATATTTAACAATAGACTATACGAATATATTTTCAAAGTGGTCTCATATTATGTTCTACTGGATATTTAGACAGTTTATATTTTTTCTAAGGAACCAATTATTAATTTAATTTAATTTAATTTATAAAATTTATAAGATATTTTATTGATCAAAAGTGTACAAACAGTTTTCAATATTAATTAATTGAGCAAAAAATTATTCAAAGCAACTTATTTTCTTTAACCAGTTTTGAATAAACAGTTCACCTGAATAGAAGTGGTTGCTGTAGATTAGGACAACTAATTTAAAACAAAGAAAGCCACAAGTGTGTTGTTACTCTCCTGAAAACTAATATAGAATAATTCACAAACCTGTAACTATACTGGCTCTCCCTACGCTTCAAATCGAAACACAACAGTCGATGCATTGCTGCTTGACGACATTTAATATCTTGATAAATCCAAGGCTTTGTGCCTGAGGCTTTTTGCCATAGTAGGTCTTCCAGCTAATAAATAAAATCATATAAAGGACGCAGTTCATGAATTTTTCCCATTTTATATATTCGCTACGCTTGCCTAGCAGATTATGTAACTTTTACGCTGCTCTCGCCGCTCTGCGTATTTTATATTTGTTAAAATACTCAATGGTTACACTGCCATCTATCGGAGGCCATGAGATCTTTCTGGTATTTGTTCAAGACGTCTTTTATGACCTCCACAGCACAGACTGGGAAAGTAAATTCTATTACGCTACCACTACACGGTGGCAATACAATATATAGTTACCTAATTCATATTAATATTCCTTTTACTGAAAATTTCTTCTAAAATTAAAATGCTTTAAATTCAACCGACTGCGGTGTACGTGATAAACGTAAGCTACGGTGTTTTTACCGGCCAGTGCCATTTACGGACTTAAGCATTACTTTTATCAAGACATAAAGACCTTTATGAATTTATCGTGAATGGCGTTGACAAAAATTAAGAATATAAATAATGTGTTGAATTATTCAGCGTGATCTGTATGGAGGCCAGCGGTTGCCAACGTTGTACAAAAAGAGTTAGCGCGGCCGCCTGTCGGAATGCATCGTGCGATGCGTTTTTGTATGATTGTCCAGGGGCACGCACTCATCCATTATCTAACTGAATTAGGAACTGCAGAAGCCTTTTCTTTTACTCAAGTCATTATGTTGTCTACTTTACTTTGCAGAATAAGTAAATAAAAATTTAAAGTTTATGAACATTTGCTATGATTATGGCGAAGAAATGTTTTTGGGGATGCAGCCTTATACCGTGTATGAAAAGTGTAGGAATGTCCCCAAACTTGATCTAGTGACAACTTTCTTAAGATATGCAGGAAGTCAATTACGACTTCGACTACGACTAGGATGTCAGGACCAAGTTTTGTGTCATTCTTTGAAGAAGGCTTTATTTGTAGAAGTTGTCTTGTTATGGGTTTTAATCATGATGATGATCACTATAAATCGCTACTATTGTAAATAAGTAAAGTTGTTTTAGTGTGTCATTTAAACATGTAATCAAATTTATTTTGTATACTCTATTTTGTGAACTCTATGAAAATTCGGGCATAGCATTTTCATAGAGATATAAAAATACTGAATCTATAGTTTTTGTACTAATTTAAAGCTTTATCGTTAGAAAGGATGGCAACGGTAATTATTTATATTTAAGAAATTTAATGCAATATTTTTATATGTTGAATTATGTAATATGAGCAATATTGCATTATTTTCATACCTCTTACACTGCGGTCACTCGATGACACAACGTTAGTGTTGCTAACAACTAAATGTTTTAAATACAAAAAAATATATGTAAAAATAATACTCATGATCCTTAAATTGTATTTACTTGAACTCAAATAAAATTAATTAAACATTCACCAATGTTCATTTCAGCGAACACTTTTAATCTATCACACAATTTAATTTGTTACTTGACAGTCGGCGACTTAATCGTATAAAACAAAGACTTGTACAGGTTCAAGTATAAAAATGAATTATAAATTCTCGTCTCGCTGCCTCGACTTCATTTAGTCGATTTCATTGTTTCTGTAATTAATACTAATTTGCAGTTCCATTGTTATTCTACTCTGCCGTTCTGATTATCAATTTTTTAGCATCGTCAGTCCACCTTCCCTTTGAATGTGGCGGTGACAACAAGAGTTGAAAATGTTTTTGAAATTTGAGCTTTATATCTATTACAATTAGTATTGATTGGTAATCAGAGACATTTTTGTTAGTTGAAAATTTTATTGCGTCGAGTCCTTGTCGCATACTCACGTTTGACGCTCAATGAAATTGCGTCAATTACTAACGTGTTTCAATTACTGGTATTTTTATTAAGGATTTACGTTGATTTTAGCGTTTAGTTTTGTGTGCTGTAGAATGTCGCAGGTGTCACTTTTTTGACGTTGGTATTTGAAATTTCTTTGGTTAGATATATGTCATTGACAAAGATGGAACAAGCCGTTAAGTAATAAAACCTGATAGATTAAACGTTTGTCAGTAAACGCAAACAATTGATAATCTTACAATTTGACTAATCTGTAATGACGATTTAAGTGTAATATATCATAAACATCAATATAAAAAAGCTTATTGTGGACGTACGCCTGTACAAGGCTCGCCTTAGTTTATTAGTCTTCAGTTTTACGGATCCTCTTGTGGCCAGCTACCTTACGCAGATCGTCGCTTTTTTATAGAAGAGGGGCAAACGAATATGCGGCTGACATGATGTAACTGTCGACCGCCGCCCATGAACAACTGCAATACCAGAGAAATTGCAGATGTGTCGCCGACCTTGTAAAAGAGTTAGCTCGTTTCTTGAAAATCTCTAAGTCGTGTCGATCCGGAAAATTGCCGGTGAGGAACGGTTCAACAAAGTCAACAAAGAAAGTCGTGCAAGGAAGAAATCTCCTAGTAAATCGCACAGTGGTTGATCGCTTCATCTAGAAATGGCCGTCGCTCATTACGCTTGCCTCAAAAAAGTATATTTTCCATGACACGTTTACTCCAACGGCCAACTACATCTCGATATCAAACGTCACGCCGACTCCCCGTAGACCGCGTAACGTACTAATAGAACAACCGCGCTCGCTCGATCCCGTCGACACAAACGTCACAGGCACATCATACACTGACACTACACCCACACCAAATGGGACAAGCACAAATAGGATAACGGATGGGACGCGTCGCACCCGCAGGCGGCCGCGACGCGTTCCAGCACGCACCGCGTACATATCGTACACCCGCATACCTGAGCGGTGAGAACCGCCCAGAACATCGACCAACACGAGCTGAGCAGTCAGAGGCAGAGGTACGCACACCTCCACTCAGACAGTGGTTAGATAGCTCAATAAACCTTAACATAGGGGACATGATGATTGGGAACAATACCAAATCATAAACCATCATCATCCTCATTCCCATCCTCATTACCGCCATTCCCCCTTTTTAAATATATAAAGCTGTGAGAGCCGCATAGACTAACAGCGCCTACATCTCGAAAATATATTCCAACGGTAGTGGCTACGGCCGCAGAAGTGCCCGATTCCTATATTCAATAAACGTTTTGATCTCCGTAACAATCAGTTTAATTATATTCGAGGTGCATACACTCGTAAAATAGTTTATATTACAAAATATTCACTCAGCAACTTAGGATGACTTAAAATAAAAAATAAAAACTTTAAACGATTCATAAATAGTTGAACTGGTATTTTATTTGAAAAGTGGGTTTCATCCACTTAATTTACTGCAAAACGGCTCGTAAAAGAAAACGAAGCGTTTTTAAATATAGAAACCCGACATAAATGTTGTCGTGGGTAAGCTTAATTTTCCAGTGGGTTTCTTCATTACGAATATTATTTAAGTACATACTAGAAATCCGAACTTAGCTCTTTTCATTGCTCGCTGAGTGACTTTGATCTGGTAGAGTAGCCGTAATGTCATTAAGTAGGTAAGTCAATATATCCAGTTCAATAATTCCTCTTCGTTGTCAGACCGCATATGTTCACAGATGGATATGTGCTGTGCACCTCCCGTTGAAAACAGAATTTGCCATAATCACCACGCAGGAATACAGGTCCGTAATACCTGACGTATCACACTTTTGACTCTGCTCTCTATCATCGGTATTCGTTACTAGATGTAAAATATCGATACTAGACGTAAAATATTAAAATATTTTTATCGCAAACTAGGTAGTTGTACCGCCATCTATCGGAAGCTATTTAAGATCTTCAGCATATCTATAGTCACCTTTTATGACACCGACAAGACAAAATAGGGTAATGGTTTCTCTTATGCTGTCAGTAAATGCCTCTATAGCAGGTTGTTAGGGGCACTATCAATGGCGACAATTTTAATTAATAAAAATGCGTGTAGTAAATTATTTTTGTATTTCCTTATGAATTAAATTCTCGTTTGTGAAGTTACGAAGCTTGTTTTAATTTTTATTTATTATTAGAACTATTTTCTTTTGTTTTAGGTACATTACGACCACCTGGACTTATTGGTGGTAGCAAACCGAAAGTTGCCACTCCTGCAGTAGTATCAAAGATAGAGCAATACAAGAGAGAAAATCCAACAATCTTCGCTTGGGAAATTCGAGAGCGACTAATATCTGAAGGTAAATTCTTCTTCCTTATCAGTAGGTAATAGTATAAAATTAGATAAGAGCCTTTTCTAATGTAGAGAGGATTTGTCTTGATCTCTTTACCAGAAATGTTTTGCACTCTGACGTTTATACCCTTACTAGGATGAAACTTTACAGAGTGGCTTGTACCGCCATCTATCGAAACTAATGGTAATTTTCTGACATTCCCCATTTCTCTAACATCAAGCTGAGTAAATCGTGAATTCCATAATACGACAAAGTAAAATTAAATAACCTTACATTTTATTACGTTCTAAAGCATTCGTTCACTTATTCTGTTCTGAGGGATCTCTATAATATGGGTGTACGAATCTGATATTATATAGACCACAAATCATTCAAGACGATTTACTGACAAGCAACTTATCCGAAATTTATGAGCTAACTTAACCTAACCTAATTTAACATAACCTTTTTTTTAACATGGGATTTCCCCATGTTAAAAAAAAGTTACGCAACCCGGGCTATGTCGGACTCGCACCAACTAAAACCCCATGGTGTTCCACCTTCGTCGCATATTGGCAGGGCCACGGGAACGCTTTCGCACACATCCGCGGCCCCACCTGCGCTGGCCGCCCCATGGCGGCCTCTCCTCGGGAGAGGACTACTTCTCCCCCATATCCTTCTCAGGTAAAGCGCACCAGAACACATGGCGCACCCTCCTTCTCGGCCACCAATTTCTCATGCGCAACGGAAGCCTCCGTATCCAATGCGCAAAGGCTATGTAGGCCAGGAAAAACTATCACTCAGAAGCATCAGCCTTCCTGACCCCAGCGGCGGATCTATGGCTCCGCCGCCAACCAAGATTCGGCTGCGGAGGGTAGGGAGATCGGCGCCTCGCAACACCGACACTCCTCTCCTCCCGCTGCCCCACCACCACCGCATCAATTAACGGTGCCGCCCTGTCTGAGTCGCGGAGCATAGGGCGAGTGGCGCATCGCCATACCAACACTCCTCTTGCTCCGCGACTCCACCTCGGCTGCAGCGGTAGGGGGAGAGAATACCCCTCTCACCGCAGCCCACCGACACACATCGGAAGTGGGCTCGTCAAGCGAGAATCCAAATTCTTCCGCAGCCCCACACTAGTGCTGGCCCGGTCTGTCCGGACCTCGTCTCCTGCACGGGGTAGCGAGGTATTTAGCTACCCCCCTCCACAGCCTCCAACTACACCTGCGTATCGGACCCCCCCGAGTCCGATACGCGGAGGCCATGGGGCCAAGAAAATCAAGCGCTTAGTAGCGCCCGCTTTCCCGACCCCAGCGGCGGATCTGGTTTCGGGTTCCGCCGCCAAACAAGATTCCCGCGGAGGGTAGGGAGAGCGGTGCCTCGCAATAACGACACTCTTCTCCCCCCGCGGCCCCACCACCACCGCATCAACGGTGCGGCCCCGTCTGAGTCGCGGAGGATAGGGCGAGTGGCGCATCGCCATACCAGCACTCCTCTTCCTCCGCGACTCCACCTCGGCTGCAGTGGTAGAGAGAGCGGACACCACTCTGTCCGCAGCCCACCAACACACATCCGAAGTGGGCTTGTCAAGCCGGGGGGGCCCTACACCTCGGGCCAGCCAATGGGTTCCTCTTTGTTCACCGCGGTTGATTAAGCCACGGCTACTAAGCCCTCCCCCCCCCGCCACGACAAGGCGGGAACCCTTACAGGGGGGGAATTCAACTTAAACTAGCCTAACCTTTTATTACGTTCTAAAACTTTCGTTTTTATATCACTTTTTTTAGACACTCGACACTCGTTTTAGAAAACTATCGTTCACTTCTCTATCTCTACCGATACGGGTGTACGAATCCGACATTATAGACCACGAATCATTCAAGACGAATTACTAACAACCACCTTATCTTCTTTATGAAACAAATATACCTTAAAGACCAATGACAAGAATTTTGTTTATGACTGAAGTTAAAATATTTCCCCTGTTACGTACCTATATATGTAAACGCGAAGAACGCCACAAGCGATCACGATCTTACCGAGCGGGTATTATGGCGAACATTCGTTTGATCTTATGTCTGTGAACTAATGTTCTGATTCTTACTTAATCAGCTTTAACAATTGTATCAGTATTATTGTATCCATTAAATATTGTGTACAAATTTTGAACTTGTCTCTTTATTATAATAAAATTTCACTCACAATCCATCTTCAGTGTCTGCACTGCCATCTTACGGTCTAAAGAGTTTCTCTGAAAGCCACTATATATGCTCATCTTACTCCTCAGAGGTGACAATGCATCTGTAGCCTTATTTGTTTGAGGCTGGTTCTTAAGCTGTTAAGGTGTTGAAGTTGGTTAAAGGTGTCCACAGTCTATTGTAGCCATTTACCATCGGATGCGCGGTAAGGTTCTATTTAGTATTATGGGTTAAGTAAAGGTCATTTACTTAGTAGCCTACTGATAAAGACAGTTGAAGAAGGGAGAGACCTAAGAAACGCTTATGAGGTGACTTGTTTGTCTATGTTTTCATATTGATGGAGGTGGTTACTGATAGAAATTTATGGATGGAAATGGGAGAGCATGCTCGAGCAGGGTAGGTTAGAAAAAAATAATCACCACATATTAGTGACGCGGAATCTAGTTGCTTTCTTGTCCATAAGCGATTTTAGTTGATTCGGCGTAAACGAGCGTACAGTCTAACAGATGGTAAATGGATGCTGTGGTTCATAGTCACCTACATCTATCCTCGATTAAGAAGTCACTCCTGATCCTGAGGACTAAGATAGAATGTCTGGTTACGCCGTAAAGTCACTTCAGTTTTATAAAAATATATATGTTGATATATCGTCTTGTAACGTTTTACTTTGTCGTATTTCGTTCATGTATCATTCATTACTGCCTATCAAAAGTCTTCAATTGTGGACTTGTAGGCCTCTTCTGTAAATTGTCTTGACTTTGTTTCAATTACAAGACTTTCACCTGCATTTTAATTCTTAATCGAGGATAGATGTAGATGTCTATGGGCCACAGTATTCATTTACCGTCAACTGGACCGTGGTTGTCTACCCTTATTCTATTAAAAAATCCTTAAATTTTCTACATGTCACTTCTATACTCTTTATGTTTGTTTACAGTTACGGCACTATAATTTATCTTGCACAGTTGACAACCTTCGATAGTAATATCATAGTTTTCGTTGGGTGTAATGTCAAAATTCTGCAAAGATTTAATAAACATCACGTATTGAGTGACACTTCTTGCTTCACTTCAATGCTAAAAAATATGTTAGCAGAAATGGAATCATCTGTATCTTCGATTTATATTGTCTTTTGACATATAAAATGATATACTTGTTATATAATGTTAATAAAATGATTAGCTTTTGCTTACGCATAAGCATTAAGCCAATTATCATCCACTGTGTTTCACTAAAGATTTCGAGTAGATATAATTTTTTTTTGAGGTATTTTAGTTAAAAAGTAGAAAACATCACAAATCTTTAACCGGGTCGCTTACCGTCATTATATTTTTAGCTATGTGCAAAAAGCTTGTATAAAAAGTTAAATGGTGTAAACGAAATCAATAAAACAGCAAATTCGGACAATGATCTCTTTAAATTTGTGTACTGTTATTTTTATAAGAAACTTTTCTTTAGAAGAAAGAAACTGTAAGACAAATAATAATTATCTATACAACATATAAATGAAATTAAAGTGTCTGTCTGTTTTATAGAAATAACAGCCTTTCATTGAACTAAGGGGGTTATTTGCAAGAACATTTTTGTCTGTCTGTGTTCGGACTAATCTTCGAAATTGTTAAATCAATTGTATTAAAACTTCACAAATAAGTATATTGAGAGCAATGCCAGGATATTTTGTCCAAAAACTTGTAGGATTTTATTTTCGAGGATAAGTGAGAAGCCTCCATAGCTGGAGCTCATGTTTAGGTCTCGACACTTTAGCACTGAATTACCTCTGTTAGTGGGAAAAAACGAACCTCTATATCTGGGATTAATTCTTTCGATTTTATCGTCATAATTACCTATATAATTGAGGCAGCGAGTATATTTTACCTCTTTTACTGAGACTATATTTTGTGTACCGTTTTATTTACTAATTCTAATTCTACCCGCAAATTCCGCACTTGGCTAATTGTGTAAAAGTGACCTCCAGTTTTAATTTGATTTTGCTATCGTTCGGATGTTTATTTGAAAATGCCGAAGCGAAAGCACCTCTGTAACTGAAATAACCTATATTCTCACCTCTATTAATGGAACACTCTGTAAATGAGACAGATATTTATTTATACCTGGATATCTGAGACACTGGGTAAGTGGAATACCTCTTTAAGAGAGACAAATTTGTAGGACCCTTAAAGTCCCACTTATCCAGGTTTCACTGTATGTATAAAACACTAGTCCTTAATACACTTCAGAACGAAGCATAGTAGTGCAGCCATTGCAGTTTGGTTATATATATATATATATATATATATATATATATATATATATATATATATATATATATATAGATAAGAGTCTGGTAAATGCCCAAACAGATGCCTAGCCAGAAAAGGAGTAATACCTAAGCTTAGTTTGTTTTTTGCAGCTTAACACTGCTGTGTTTCGTATGGTGAGTGTAGAGATCCAGACATCCTTTTTTACTGAAAACGAGGCATTTCATCTCAGTCCTCGGCGGTGACAACACATCTGCATTTTGATTCGTAATCGAGGATAGATGTAGATGTCCATGGGTCACAGCAACCACTTACCATCAGGTGGTATGTGTGCTCGTTTGTCACCCTTATCCTATAAAAATTACCATTAAGCTAAACATACACCACATGCACGGGATTTTTAATTAAATAATATGTTTTCATACAAAGTCAGCGGTTCTCTGTCTTTTAAACGGTAGGTAAGTAGTCGAGTAATCGGATTTGACTATTTGTTTAATGAACTTTATATATTTAGTGTCAAATAGTTTTTGGGGAGGTCAGAAGGTAAAGCCATTGAAGTGCAAACCCGAATATG